AAATGATCCAGGTCTTACTTTTTTATTTTTTGGTGGTTTGTACCACTTCTAATTTCATGGAGATCACTCTAGAAACATTGGAATGTGAAAGCCTTCTAATCAGAGCTCATTCTTTAAAACATTCAAGTAGGACGGTTTTTCCAGAAAAGAAGGCATTCAGTTCTCCCCCATATTATTGAATGAATCTTGCTTCATTACTGCGGCAAATTAAGTTAAGCTTAACCAAACAGTATTTGCACAATGTAATTCTCTACATGTTTCTTTGAAGTAAATTCCACTTAATTTGGTATAGTTTACTCCAAAGCAATTGTGCTTAGGTTTTCAGCCTTGGAGTAATTTCAGTTACTCTTCTCCTCCCCCCCAATCACGTGATATATACATAGCTCCTTCTGTTTTGTAACATGTGTAAAGTACTGTTCATTCTTTTGTCACTCATTAACTGCTTGCTGATCTGACACCAGGTTAGAAAACTGGATAGAAATACATAATATCTGATTATAAATGAAAACACTGTAAAATCAGCATAATTTGATGCTGCTGTTTTTGCCTGCATATACATTTCTAAGGCAATAGGTACCTATGTCATTCATTTCTTTGAATTTTTCTATATCTTCCCATTCAACGTTAGGGGATTCAAATCTGAGGACAGTTTCTTACTGTGGAGGCAGCAGTGACCACATTGAAAATGCAACAGATCCTGCTATTAAACAGTGCTATGTGGAGTCAAGTTCCAGGACTTCCTCTGCTCCAACTACCTATTCAACTTTTACCCCCATCTCTAGACAACCAAACAGACCGAAAGGTACTCATATAGCATGTCTAACTTCATTGGGGATTCTATTTCAGTAAGATATTATTTTTTCCTGAGAAATAAAGTTCAGAAGAAAGAGAACTTTATTTATTTATTTATTTAAAACGTTTATATAGCTGCTCATCTTAAAACAACTCTAGCTGGCTTGCTACCAATAAAACAGTATAAGACAATATAAAGCTAAAAGCAGAAAAACCTGGCGCCACAGCCGCACTTCCCTGATGCACCCACATTCTCATCCCAGCTTGACCTTGCTCTGTCCCAACGTTGGGGGAAGAGCCAGATTTTAAGGGCTGACTGGAAGAATAGAAGGGTAGAGGCCTGTTGAATATCAAGGGGGAAGGTGTCCCATAGGGCAGGGGCTGCAATGAAAAAGGCACACTTCCAAGGACCCACATGATTAAGTTTAAGGGAAGGGACCTAGAGTGTGCCCACTCTATCCTTTGGTACGGTGGACAGACGTCCTCAGGGAGAGGCAGTCCTGCAGATAATGGCTCACATTATACTAGCCAATTGAATATATCACATGCCAAAGAGTAAACATCACTTTAAAAAATGTAACATTTTTCAGGCCATAATTCAGATGGTGACCTGTATGAAAATTCCTCTGAGGCAATGGTTTCCAACAACCAGCACAGTAAGTAAAGACTGGTTTCCTTTTTGCCTTTGATTCTGATCCTGGGGTTGGGTGGGAGTGATCTTCAAATGTTCAAGTTTACTTTCTCAGAAGAAGGTGGCTACAATGGGAAGAATGAAGTAGGAAAGTCCTACTTTAGAGAGAAGTTTTATCCCCAGTTCTTAGGCTTCAGAATAACATAACTTGAAAGGAAATATAGACTTTTGTTCATATTGAAGATGTTTCTTGAAAGATAAGCAGCTATTTTCTACTGAGGCACATTAGTCCATCTACCCCTTGCTGTCAATACTGACAGGTAGCAGTGTTCAGATAGAGATTTTTTTTTTTTTTTTGCATCAACCTGGAAACACTTGCCTGCAAAGCATTTGCTTTACTGTTGACCCATGTTCTCCTCCAGTAAGCTGATTTTAGAGGGAGATTATTCTAGTGGAGAAACACTGCCTTCTTTCTTTCTAACCTGATGCAGCCTGGAAACTAAGACTCCTCTCAGACTCTGATTTCTGTTCCTCCTCCTTCTTGTTTTTTAAATTTCCTGCAGTGTCTGGGTCAAATAGCTTAGAGAACAGTGAAAGTGCATCCAGTAGCAGCTCCCCTTTAAACCTGAAAGGTATGATATTTTCACAAGAATATTCATGTATTACAATCCCTTAATTATTAGACAGGAATGTTAATAAATCTTAATCTATTGGGCAAGGCTTGAATGTTTTCCTGTTCCATAGAAGGCAGATTCTGTGGAATGCATATATGCAAATTAAATCAATAGTTGCATATATGATTAGGTTATCCCTAGCCCTTTTATAAGGATGTGCTCAAATATTTTTTAATAGAATAAAAGAAGGTGACTTTGATATCTTTGAATCTCTTGATACAGGATCTTTCGACCATATTCGTGACAGATCTGAAAGTTTTAGCAGTGAAGACATAGTGCTAATGAAAGATATGCCTGGCACATCTAGAGATGGTCTATTTTATTCCACCTCTTCTGCAGTTGTGGGTTCAAACACTAAGCACAGTTCCACATTTAATAAGAATGGCATGTTATTATTTGATATATCTCAGAAAAGCAATCAAATACAGAAGCAATCTGTTAAGCACCGATCTGCCTCTCCGGGTAATGAAATGGTAACCTTAGAAGAATTCCTTGAAGAAAGCAACAGATTATCTCCAATGAAAGTAAGCAAATTATCCAGAAAACACATTTTTGTCTGTATGGGGATGGAAGCTGGTAAGATCATCAAGGGAAAGTGCTACATTACATACTATGGGACCCTGGTTGGTCTGAGTGCTGGATAAACCTGTGTAGAGTTCCACTAACAAGATTCTCTCCGTCTCTGTGTGTGTATGGTTCTGTTGATAAAATTCATGGACATTATTGTTAATTGGAATAACACATTAGCATGCTTAATTTTATATTTAGGTAATTACAGCATTTCAGTTTATTTGCCACCATAGGAAGCAGAATGGAGGTGAAATTAAAGTATTGGAGTATTATTAGAGTAGGGGTGGGTAATGTTTGATATATATGGAAGTTTTACTACAGCAGTATACCTTTTTAAATGGAAATAGCACAGGCTAAACTGGCATGCCGACAAAGTTCTGACCTTTATCATATTTATTTGCAAGAATGCACCCCAGTGTTTGCTTGCTTGCTTGTTTGTGACGGGAAGACAAAAATAATACGGGATGCAAACTTGAAGACTAGAAAGGCTAAAAAGAGTTTTGAAAAACAATCTCACTGGTTTGTCTCCTAGTAAGTAGGTGTTCTGACATGTGCTCTATGGCAGGAATTCAGTGAGAAATGTCCATTTTCAAAAAGAATATATACCCCTTAATTAGGATGACATGTCTGGAGGCCCTTAAAGAAAACAGCCTATATTTCCCAATCTCATTGTTTCCATTAGGCTGTAATCCCTATAAAGTGTCCACTTCTATGTACAATCCAAATGGATTTGTATTTATGTTCATTTAAGATTGCAATCTTATTCTCACTCCAGACATCCTCAAATGCCACTGTCAGGCATTAATCTCAATATGGTTAATATGCAACTCACTTCAGAAGCCCTACTACAGCTCTACAATACCCATTTGGTCTGGATTTTATACCAGATTGTTCTTAAATTGTGCTACGCAAGCATTTTGCTAAAAGCATTTTATGATGTCCTTTATGTGTTCTCTTTTCTGCTTGAAAATTATTCTACCCAAGAACTTCAAAATGTTTTTGGATTGTGTCTATGTGTCTGCTTGCAAATAAATGGCTATGGATACTAATACATAAGTGCAGCTAGTTGTCAATAACTTTGTTTGGTCTGACCCTGCATTAAAACTGTTTTGTATTTCATGCTGGACGTAACTTATATGAAGAATTCATATTTTTGTGATAAATAATGGATATTCATTAAGTTGCTGATTTTGTTTCATATTCCCACAATTCTTTTTAGGATATTTCTAGTAAAGATGATTTGCTGAGTGACTATTTCAGAAAAGCCAATGAGCTTCCATGTACTGGAGGTCACTTTCCTCAGGCACACAGGAAGGAGCCAAGCAAGACACCTACCAGTTATGTCACTCCAACTATAAAGATGCCTGGCGCTGCTGAAGATGGAAGGCTAGCTAAACCGGGCCACTACATGAAACCAAATCTTAAACCATCCGAATCAGAACTTGTGGCAAACTCCAATAAGCTTACCCATGGACTTCGAAATCAGGCCAGTCGAGCATCAAAGCCATTGGTATCCCCTCAGCAGACCAATAACATGGGCAGGCAGAGCACATCATTGAACCGGGCCTATAGCTTGGCTTCAGCAGATCTTCTCAGAGCCACTGGCCCAGATGTGACCAGACGGTATGAAAGTCTTCCAAAGCCTGTGACTGCTGATATCCGAATAGGCAAGGACTCAGACGTCCAGACTTCCCAGCTGCCTTTGGCTTCTACTTCTCAGAGCTCTCTGAGAGAGAGGTCACAGTCTGCAAAGATAATGGGTTCTTTGCAAAACGTTGATTCTCGCTGTCGACAGCTTGATGTTAGGCGCCTTTCTCTTGCCCCTCCAAAAGATGAGAGGTCACTCTTGTTTCCTCCGTTTTCTTATTCTACCACCACTTCTAAGGATGATCTTTCTTCTCAGCCACAGGAACGGGCAAAAGTACATTTGGAGCAGCATTCTTCTCTTCCACAATATGCACCTAAAACCAAATCCAAGCCATTGTTGCAGAGTGGGGAGGTGGCCACTGTGACTCCTATCAGAATTGTTCCCAACAGTACAGAAGGGAACAATCCCCAAGCAGCTGGTTCAACTGACATCTATGTTGCCAAATGCCAGAATCCATCACCAGAAAATAAAGTTTTGGCAGGGGGCATTGAGGAAACAAACAGAGGGCTTGGTTCCAAGAACCCTCCTTCATCACCAGATCCCCCTGTTGATCAGCAAACTGTTTGGTATGAATATGGTTGTGTGTGACTCCTCAGTTCCACTTTGCCAAGGATTGTATAAAATATGTTTCACTACTGAAAATTGGTGGCACTGGGAATTTTGCTAAACACTGTTGTCTTAACTGTCTTCTGGAGGCTTTACAGTTCAGTAGAAACATGTATTTGCATACTTGAGGTTCAAAACTGGAACAATTCTGGAAGACTGAAATGATTTAAGCATCTCCTCTTCTTCAAGTCCAGGATCATACTCACCATAGTATAGGATGCTTACCATTAAGTCCTCTTGTGCCTTTTGCAGGCCCTTTTCTTCTTTTACTATTTGGGAAATTGTATCTGTGTGTTTGTCTACTGAGCTCAAGCCTTACTCAGTTTAGAGACAATTCCGTCTTATTTTTAAATACCATCTTTTTTTACAAATCTGAAATGTTCTTTGGGGTATTGTTAAAAGCAGCATGATGCAAGCATGCTGCCTTTACGCTGGTGGTTATTTCATTACCAGTTAGCGGCTTTCTAAATATCCTGGCTTCTTTGCTGCACTTACAGTAGTATGCAGTAGAGATGCTGCCTTTTTATATATGTCTAATATTTGTATTGAAAACACTGGAAATAATGCAGCCTTATTGAGGGGCATGGTCTCCTTTAAATGGCAACTTTTCATGCACTGGACTAATCTGTTTACTACTCCATGCATTAAATCACTTAATGGCTCCACTGGTTGCCTAGAGAACCTGTACAGTCAGTCTGCTCTCCTAATGTGTACAGTTCTTTTGCCTAAATGATATATAGGAGATTCTTTTAATGATGCCCATGGCTATTGCAATGTTGAAACTTGCAAACTATCTCAATAAATAATTGCAAGTTCAGGCCTTGGTTCTAATTTGGTCAGCATGATCTATGTAGAAACCAAGTTTCATTTATATACATATTTTTATGAAATCATATTTATGCCCAGATGAAATATTTTACTCTATGAGTTTCATTGACTCCTTGTGCATATCTCCTGATTTGTTGTTTTGCTTATAAAGAGATCCTCCTTTCTAACAGATTAACAGAATCATAAAACTTCTCTGGATTTGTGATTTATGATAGAAAAAACTGAATCTGTAACAGATCTCACACAACCAGTGACTAGAGTGTGTCATAGTTTGTAGCAGTCACATTGTGAGAAGAGCAAGTTTGTCTGTAATAAAGACTTTTTAAAATACAAATATGTCAAAACTGTCACTTTCTCCCAGAAAAAAATGTATCATTGAGCATTGCTGTAAAATGTAGGCTGTCACAGATGCACACCCTTTTTAGCAAAGCTTTAATACGTGTGAGTGTGCGGGGGTGGTACCACCTCCTTGTAACTTCAAAGTATGATTCCTCATCTTAATATTTATAGAAGTACATGAATTTTCTTCCATGGTACAGCAAAACCTTCTAAATGTATTTAATAAATGTATAACATAGTACATATTTTCCCAAACCAGACATAAGGACAATGTTTGCTTGGTTAATTCTGCAGTCAGTTACAGTCCCAGCACATCTGGAGGCTGCCATGTTGGGGAAGGCAAGTTCCACAAAGGTATCCGTAACTTGTGTTGTTTGTTAACAGAGTTCTATAAAAATTCTTGACAGGTTTTTAATGCAAGTTTACTGTAATATTTCTCCTTGAGGGGACTGGTTGACATTGAGAGGCAACTGAGTTATATGTAATGGAATAGTCCATTACTTCCTGACTTTGCATGAATGCAATACAGTGCTTCAATTTCAAGGGAGGATATCTGTCCTGCTTATATGGAAATGACTGTGAACGTGTGATAAATCTTGATGCAAGATGTGGTGGATTGCCCCCCCCCCAGCTCCCATGAGCACTTAAAATCTTACTACAACCTTCCTACAACACCTGGGAAGATCTGCAGCAGTAATGCTACCACTAGCCACTTTCCTGGAGAAATTCTCTCTGCTTTGGTTTACTCTGGAGGATGCTAGGAGCAATCTTCCTTTCACCAGTAGTTTAACCATAAGGGAGAAATGTGGCTAACATCAGGAATTGAAGTCTTTACTATGTATATCAAGATTAAAGAACTAAAAGAAAGTTGAAAAGGCACAAAAGGAAAAAGACATGAACAATGGCTTATGGAAACATTGAGTTTCTAGTACAGAAGATGACAAAATATGGGCTGGACTATGCTACCATTAGATGAGTCTATATCAGTAGCTCTGCATCAGACTGGTGGGAAGTGTGGAGTGGTGTACTGCAAGGCTTCGTTCTAAGCTTTGTGCTGTTCAGCATTTAAATGTAAATTACTTGGATGGCAGGCTAGAAAATAAACTTGCCAATTTTTCAGACAACTAAGGGTATGGCAAACATCTTAGAGGACAGCATCTAGATTTAAGATGATCTTGACAGGCTGGAACAATGAACAGAAAGTAGCAAGGTGAATTTCAACAGAGACAAATCCCTACCATAGGGTAGGAAGAATCAAAGACAGGAGTATAGGATGCAAAGCATATTGGACAGCAGTACATGTGAAAAGAACCTGGGTGCCTTGGATCCCAAGCTGAACATAAGCCTAAAGTATGACAGCTACAAAAAAAAGCCAATGCAAACCTAGATTGCATCAACCAAAGTCTAATGCCAAGCTCAAGTAACTGTTCATCTGTTGCACTGGTCATGTGCCTTGAATATTACAGCCTGTGATGGACACCATATTTTAGGAAGGGCATTATCAAATTAGAATGTGTCTAGAGTAGGCAACCAAGATGATAAGGAGTCTGGAAAGAAGAGCATACAAAGAAAATTAGAGGCACTGGGCTTGCTTAGCCTGGAGAAGAAAAGAAGGCAGAGAAATATACTTGATAATAAACTGAATATTTTAATTTATTTGTTTATTCATCAAATTTGTCACCGCCCATCTCGTGAAACGACTATATGAAGCAGCAGTGTGATGTGGCTGCAAAAAAACAATACAAGCATAGCTTCCAAATCGCAGGAAGCAGTAGTTTCACTCTGTTCTGCTAGATTGAACTTGATCTCAGTTTCTGTGTTCCGTTCTGGGCAGCACACTTTAAAGCACAATCTTTTGAAAGAGATTACAGAAATTGAATTATGTTTAGCCTTGAGAAGAAAAAACCTAACAGGATGTAACAGCAGCACTTTCATAGAGGTGCTATTTCCTCTTCTCTGTCATCCCAGAGCACAGGACAATGGTCTTAACTTACTGAAAGGCAGATTGTACAAAAAGCTGTTTGACAGTGAAACCAATGGCTAAGCAATATTGCAGACACATTCATTGGAGATGCTTGAGCTTGGATTCCTAAGCTGAGTGGGGAGTTACACCCAGTCCTAAATGTCTGCTTTCTACATTATGATTCTCCAAGATGTGCTACCTACAACCCTCCCACAAACACAGGTCTACTCCCCAAAGAACCACTAACAGGAGAAGGGAGGTCAACAACAGAATATGGAAAGAGGCCAAAGATGGAATAGAGCAGGAGTAAGCCACTTGTTGTCTTTCAGGTCATCTATCCTACAACTCCATCTGTCCTGATTTTTGCATCGATGACTGACATTAGCGAAAGTTGTAGTCTAAAAGATTCATGAGGCAATGGGTAGACTCATCTCTCTACTAAGTGACTGAATTAAGTTTAAAAATCATGAGAATATTAATCGTTATGTTACTTAAAATGTCATATTGGTATATCAAGCATAAAGACTTGGAGGAAAGAACAATTGCTTTAAAATGGCATATCCTTTATTTGTATTTTCAGGAAACATAAGCAGTACAAGAGTTTTATTCTGATATTTCCAAGGTTAAGCAGGAGGATCCCAAATTTGGTATGTAGGTTGAGACAAATCTATTCATATTATGTTTTTCCCCATGACTTTTAACATGTTTTCAGATGTAAGGTTTGTTATTTTTCCTGCCACCAGACAGTTTTTTAACCTTGTGTTTATATTAAACCCTTATCAATTGTTGCAGCATTAGACAAGCCTACTTGCTTTTTAAATTAAACTGTAAACAGTGAAACCACACAGAAATAAAGTGCAGAAAATACAGGCAGTGGATTGTCCTCTAATGTAGTCACGCATACGCACATACCTATAACTTTAGGATAATACTTTGCCAGATACATAAAATGAAGTGAAATCCAGAAAAGGTTATGAATATATACCTATAAAAATTATGCAACTCAATATGGTGGGTGCAAATGTGTCTTTTCATTACTCGCTCAGCCAGTATGATTTACAGACTGGAGCCAGTATTGAACTAATTGCAGAATTTAGTACTGATTGGTAAGGAGAAACTACAGGAAGGTAAATTGGGTTAACCTAAAGTATATCAGTGCTAAAATAACTCAAGAGCCCGTTTGGTGCAGTAGTTAAGGCACCAGACTAGAAACCGGGAGACCATGAGTTCTAGTCCTGCCTTGGACGGGAAGCCAGCTGGATAACTTTGGGCCAGTCACTCTCTCTCAGCCTAGGAAGCAGGCAATGACAAACCACTTCTGAAATCTTGCCAGGAAAACTGTAGGGACTAGTCCAGGCAGTCACCAGGAGTCAACAATGACTCGAAGGCATCATCATCGTCATCCAGATCAAAAGGATAGGTAGTAAATGCCAATCTCTTGGAATACCAGTAACTATCCAAGTGCTTTCAAATAGCTTCAATCAGAAGGTTTAGACCTAAACTGAGATTTCTGATTGCAGAGATTCAGGTGACGTTACTGGAGTTTGAAAGATCTTCTGATTGTCCATGATGATATAATGCCTTCTTAAGCTTGACAGTTTCTTGGCAACCCTTTGGTTGATTATGTGCCATCAAGTTGGTGCCGACTCTTACCGATCACATTGATAGATATTATCATGATGATCTGTCCCTAACCTGATCTTTCAGGTCTTCCAGTGGTGTACCCATTGCTACTATAGACTGAGTCCATCCACCTTGCTGCTGGTTGTGCTCTTCTATCACTGTGAATAGTTCAGTTAAAACATAAGTGCCATGGCAAAAAGAACAGAAAGTCCCCTGCAAGGAATTTATGGAAAGGATTGAAAATACACATGCCTCTCAGAAGTTCATCTGTATCTCAGGCTACATCCCTAAAAGCAATGGGTGGAACCAAAACAAAAGTAATTATTTTATTGGATTCACATTTAAATTAAATGCACTATATGTGCAAGGAAAAAGAGACGTTCATCAAGCATTTTACTTTTAAAATGAAAAGATCACCTTAGATTCACTAAATACAGTTACAGAGGCAGATGAAGAGTTTATGGGGGGATAGATAACCTTAAATTCAGGATCATTTTTCTTTCAGGTAAATAAAATAATCAAGATTATTGTTCTCCATGTATTCGTGTATTCAATTAGAAATAAAAATAATTTAAATGCCACATTAACAAGTGTGACTTGTAATTTTATAACAACTTTTGGAGGTCTCTGGAAACCATATCCAAGACATTTTGGATGTGGCAGCCATGCAGTCCCTTATAGAATATTATGCATAGTTCTGGTGAAAAATGTAAGATCTCATTCAGACTAAGCATAACGCCTGGTGACTATCCAAATCATTGGGGAGGCAACAGTCTTCCTTTCAGAAGCAAGTTCAGAAAATTCTCTCTCTCCACTCCCTCAACTATAATTCTGGAAATTAATGAAATTGCAAGGCAAAAAAATGCAAAAAGGCTCCTTCAGGTGGAGCTTAGCTCTTGGTCACTCCTGTGGAAGTGATTTGCCATTGTCATCTTCTGGGACTTTTTCTTTCTTTCTCCTAATCTAATCTACAGCTCTGGTGAAAAGTACTAAGCAGGAGGGTCTTCCTCCCATAAATCAATCCCAAAAAGCATGTGGGGATGGTTGTTGCCTTTAAAACATGGTTAGGCCCATTAGTAGAGAAAAGGACCTGTCAGTGCATGTAGGTTATTTTTGCAGCTATTGTCCCAGGCCCCCCTTATGTATTTATATAATAAATAGGTAAACATTCTAGGGTTAAAAACATTTTGGAAACAGTAACTATATTTAAAAGAAAAATATCGTTTAAACTACAATACATTTATAGTAAACTGCAACCATTTGGTATAAAATGAAAATTAGGAAGAGGGAGAAAGAAGCTAGGTGGGCTTTTCAACTGGTGCCTGCGCAACACGTCAGAGGCACTTTCTGAAAATCAAAAGGAGAGGATTCCAGAAAGGAGATGTACTGACTTGTAGTTAAGAGGGCAATCTATAAGTTGAGACTGATAATGAAGAAAGCCAGGGTGGGTGGAATACGTTACCTAGGATGCTGTGAGAAGGGTGTCTGTGTGTGTGTGTGGAGAAAGAGTTTCAGATTAACATTTGGCTTTTTGGCCTCTCTGTACCATTAAGAGGCCCTCAAATGATGGCCAAAGAGAATGCTCAGCAGCATCTAGGGGAATTACCTCCAGTGCATCTGGAGGACACCAGGCTGGGGGAGGTTGCAATGTGGTACTGACAAGAAAAGCAGCTGATCTGCTGCTGCTCCTCCTCCTCCTGCTCAGTCTCTGACAGCTCTACTTTGGGAGGAGGTTAGTCAGACAAGCCTCACTCAAACTTCAAAGCAGAAGCTCCATTCCACAGGCACGGGAACTTTCACCACTCCCAGAGAAGTCAGCGCTTTTCTCTAGGTGAGCATCAATTCATTTAAGAAGCAGCTATGAGAATTGGGCAGCAGCAGCAGCAGCAGCTCTATGCTATGTAGGTGTGGGTCTCTCTAAATAATGACATCTTGATTTCTGAGCATCTTTTAAGAGGTTGGAAATGGTTGGGATTAAAAACAGCACCCGTGAATGTATTATTGACTCCTAAAAGAGCAAACAGAGCTTCTTTTGAAATAACTCAGCTGGGTTTTTGTTCCTTATTTGAACTGAAATGGTGGACAGCCAAAGTATTTAAATGGATGAATACTGTAATGCAATCTTATGCATACCTACTTGGATAGATCCCCTTTAAACTGAATGAAACTTGGCTATGAGTAGACATAGACAGGAGAACGTTCTAAAGCCCTTATTTAGAAGAGAATGAATAGGGGAGAGTATTTGCTGCTAAGCTACTTAGAGTGTTATATTCTGAGGCAAACAGACATTCCTAATGGTACAAGTCTAGTTCAACCTCAGAGGAAAGTGGGTCTTTAAGTGTTACTTTTTGTGTTTTGATTGTTTTGTTTATATTGCATATATTTGACACTTTATTTTGTTCATTTCTGGTTTTAAAAATAAGCCACTTTGAAAGCTGAGATTGAACAGAAAGGCAGGATGCGAATGAAGTGAGTAAGCAAGGCATCTGGCGTGTTAGAAATTCAGAATTCAAGAGGAGCTGAGCTGCTTTGGAAAAACGTGCATAGACCTTTACCAAACCTTAGGATAGGTGTCTGAGGTTAGGCAGCAACTGTGCCTCATTCCCCAGCATCTCAGACATAGCATCGACAGAGCGATAGAAGGAGACACAGTTGGGAGAGACTTAAGGAAGCCAAAAGATATTCTCTCCACCAATGAAAGGTCAAGCATGTTAGGAAGTCAATTGTGGCTAATGGTGAGTCTGTTCTGCAGCAGAACAGACAGAAGATGATGGGCTCCCTGGAGCTATTTAAGCAGAGATTGGATCAGAGTTGTAGTGCTTAAATCTGGCATTGAGCAGATGATTTGGATCAAGAGATCTTTAGGGCAGAAAAATTATTTTTGCTGATAGCAGCAAAGTATTAGTTCAGATACTAGGCTCCAGCCAATACTTCTGTCTACCTGAATGCTCCTGCCCCCCTTTTAATATTACATAGGCAAGACTACAGCTATCTTCCTCTCTTATTATTTTTATTTTTATTTTTTTTGTCGAACTGATAAAAGTAGCACAATCCGGTGGATGGACTCTGTGTGTGTGAATGTACATGCAAATTCAATATTTATGTCCATTTTAAATCTTGAGGGAGAGCCAGAGCTGGGCTTTGTCACCGTCACTGTTCACACATCTGATCTAAAATGTGTGTCAGTAATGGATGTCTGTTTTGCCTGGGCTGTAGATATCACTGTGCGGCTGCACAGTCCTTCCTAGGTCCATTTGCTAAGTCTTTTTCTATACAACTCCTCTCTTCACCACAACACCCACGTGGGAAATGAAGTGGCTGTTTATTTGCAGTTTGTTCCATTGGACTGGAACAAATGCTTGCCAACTCAATATTATATGCTATATATAGTTTTAAGCCATGCCTAGCCTTTCAACTTAAAACTTCCCATTGTTTTCATCTCCTAAGAAATGATGTGACACATTTCCTAGAAGACAAATGCTTGCGTGTAGGAAATAGCATGGAAATAATGCCAACTTTCTGCATGTGAATTTTTAATGTTTAACCCCTTATAACCCCTTATATACATGCATAACATGTATATGCATGCCACAAGACAGCAGATTCATAGGGATTGCATGGCAGTTAAAGGTATGCATACACTGTTTGCCACAGCTAATGTCATACACAATTAGCATGTTGAGGATAACAGAATCTGGTTTGGGTGCTAAAAAAATCCTGCAATAAATAAAAATCCTTTTAGAACAATACAGAAGACACCCATTGCTAGCACAGATGCAGGGGCCTTCCAAAAACTCTGAAGAGTTCATCTGACCCCTCCCCACTTTTTTTTCACACAGCATCCTATGGCAATGTAATCCCCGCCCTGCCAGCTAATGTTTGTGGTCCACTGAGGTCAGTGGCTGACAAACAGCAGTGTATGGGACATCCAAAATACAAAAATGTTTTAATTGATCAGAATTGCTGCCTTGAATAAAAGGTATCAACCCACCTGATCATTTCAAATGCTGAACACTACTTTGGATGGGATCCTCTGTGAGTGAAGCCAGGGGTAACTGTCTCACTATAAAGTCTCTGTGCAGGTACAAGATCTTGGCAACTTAAACTGAGATACTCAGAATGCAGATAGAGGGTCTGTTGTCATAAAACAGATGAATCTGTTCCTTTACCTATTGAAGTTCCTTTCCCCCAGCATCTTTAAAAAATCCTGTCTCTCCATTTAAAATATTTTTAATGAAACTGGGTCTCCTATAGGCTCCTCTTCTTTAACTTAAGCTACTACTCAACAGCAAATGGTGCTACTATGAATTGAAGACTTGACCAGCTGTTTTGGCAGCATTTTAATGTTCGTTGGTTTTGCTTTCCTGAAGAAAATGTTTTATTTCATAAGTCTGTGTCTCCCTGCAGATACTGGGATACATCTTTGGGCCTCTCACTGACTTTTGCACAATTTCTACTAAATGCAAATGGATTTTCTGTTTACTTTTGCGTGAGCTCTATTAAAGAGCTTTTAAAGGTTAGTCATTTTCTGATTAGTCACCAATTTTAATTCTCTAAGGAACTAATTTCCAGTGACACAAAACCAACAATCCATTGGTGGATATTTTCTTATCATCATAAGTATGGTTAAATATTTTCCTGGAAGTGTTGCATGAGAAAATATGAAACAACATTAAGAAATGGAGGAGCTGTCCAGCAATGCAAAGTTTAGCAGCTGTCCTTGTTCTTTCGGTCCTACTAAGGATGGCACAGTGCCGGTCTTCCAAAGCTTAGGGTAACAAGGTTGTTTCATTAAAGTGGGAGATAGCTTCAAGGGTATTGACCCTATTGAAGGAGAAGCCTTGTTCTTTTAAAAGCTAAATACTATGAGTGTGTAAAACAACTGGAAGAGGTGTAGTCTCTTTCTTCCCAGCAAAATTAAGTAACTGTACATCCATGCTCATGAGGAGATAGTCTGGGTACTTCATACACATTGTGAAGCAGTTCTTCTGAATGCTTAGCAAAGCCTTAGCAAATACTAAAGTATAAATACTTTCAAGATAATCCATTCCCAGCAATATTCAGGAAATATCTTTAGGGGTAAAATAGTGCAATGCAAAGTCAAGAATGTGTAGTATAAACCAAATACATCATAAAGGTCAAAAGTTTTGTGGAAAGACTTCTGGCTTCCAACTTACCTGTGGTGTTACAGAACAAAAACCCTCTTCTTGGTAAAGAGAAAGATTTCTACCATGCCACTGATTTGTTTGATGATCCATTTGTTTGTTTTCTTGACTGCCCATGGAATTCTCAGGAGTCTTCTCCAACACCAAAGTTCAAAAGCATCAATGTTCTTCCTATCATATCATTAATCTGCAGTGATCACAGCATTTTAACCCCACCCTTCTTGGAACATTACGGGGGCTCAGTCCAGAAGGGTTGCTTCTCTGTGATGGACTTCACATTATGGAATGTTCTCCCCTAGCTCATCCTGACCTTGTTAGCATTCTGGAAGCATGTTAGAATGGAGCTTTTCCCGGGAACTTGTAATTAGTTGAATAACTCAACTGATATTTTACATAATAATGTGTTGCTCTGTTTTAGTTTAACCTTGGTTGAATTATTTTAAATTTTATGTGTATTTTTTGTGGATGTTTTAATGTACATCACTGAGAGTCACATGATTAAATTCAGTAGTGATTCTTAGTCCCTTAACCTGATATATACACACACACACACACACACACACACACACAAAATTATTCATAACAAATTAACAATATTTTAGAAAGCTATAATCTCCTTGAAATTTTAAAACCCCTGGTTTATCCATCTGTATTATAACCTTTCATTCTTTTTTCATGTTCTCTCTTGTAATTGTTTATATATTTTCTTCAAGGTGTTCAATTAAAAAAAAAAAGCAGGGAACAAAGAGTCACATGATTGCATTGGCATAAAAATCCAATAAATAAATCAATATGCTTTCTCAGAGAACCTACAGAAAAGAGAACTCAACCGGTCTGGCATTTGCTTTTCTCGGACATGAACCACTGCATCACACTGAAAACCAGTGTGGTATGGTGGTTAAGATACTGGAATAGGACCTGGGAGGCCCAGATTCAAGTCTGCCCTTAGCCAGGAAAACTCACTGCATGACTTTGGACCAGTCACAATCTTTCAGCTCAACCTATTGCACAGGGTTGTTGTGAGGAAAAAGTAGAAAGAATCCAGTGTAGAATATATTGAGTTTCAAAAGGAAAGGCTGGATATAAACCTAGCACATAAAAGTATTGTTTACAAAGGCATCTGGAAAAAGATTGGTATAAATTATTATGGTACCTCTAATGAATCATAATTATGATTATGAGTAGGGTCTGTTTTTTCCAGGCATCTGGGTTTCCTGTGTGTGTTTTGAGGGGAAGGAAAAGAGGCACATTGTACCAGAAAAAGAGCAAGATGATGTATTTCTCTTTAAAAATCAACTATGTGCAACTTTTGTCTTCGTATGACATGGATCATATCTTCATGCCACTGTATCTCAAACTTGGAGGAGAATGTGCACTTTTCATGCTAAAATACTGTACTGCCCTAACAGGATTGCTTTGCAAAGAATGAGAGTAATAGAAGCAATTGATACTATTCATAATAGCTATAGGAAAATTCCAGAATTGGAGGCAGATATCTGACTGAATACTGGTTTTGCCTGTAGGTGATCTGGAAGAAACAGAAAGCAGCAGTTGAAAGTCCTTTGGTGTGGCCAAGAGAGTTCTTGCTATGCTCTTACACTTCTGAGTAACTTACAGGATTAGTCAATGTAACTGCACACTCAGTTCTTCTGAAACAGTATACAGTTTTGAGGCTGTAAAAGGTAGTGACCTTAAAGGTTTAGCAGGAAGGAAGTACACACATATATACATGCATATGTGCGTGCACACAGAGATTAGTGCAGAAGTTTCCATTACATAAATTTCTATCTCCAAAGATCTAAGCCATTCAAGGTTTTGCTGAATTTGAAATTTCACACTATATTAAAAAATGTTTATTGTGAATGAATATCAAAAAATATGTTTGTTCTGCAATGTATCCTTTGGAACAAAGGCACTACACAACTCATACATTAGAAATTCTTCATAGGTTATTTAAAGGTTTACAAAAGACACTGTCATTTGTAAATTGTACTGGCAAGTAGGAAAATCAGTCAGAGAAAAGACCTGGTGATGCCGTTGTTTTAGATAAGATCTCATTCAAGGCAAGTTGAATCTCAAGGTGATTAAGGAAATGGTTTGAGGGAGGGTCTGTCTGCTGGTTTTTGCTTCCAAACTCATATTACCACTTCTGTGTTGAGCCTAGCAAACATGGAAATACAATACATGGTGGCAGATACAGTACATTAGTTATGTCCCATGGAGTAGGCAACACACACTCCTCTGAGCTGCCTTTGAAAATAATTAAACAATTATTCCCATGCTTAAAGAATTTCACTGACCACCAGTCCATTTCCTTGCAGAATTTAAAATACAGATTATTTGAAAAAATAAAATATTTTTAAGAAGCTTAGAAATCCAACGTGTTTTGCTCTCCTTCCTACCTACTGTATATCTGTCTGATCGATCTATAGATTGTTCCAAAGCTATACCATTTTAAACTTTATTACACTGTTTTCAGACTTTTGTGCTAGTACCAGTTTCACTGCATTCATTTCTTCCTGCATCTTCTCTCCTTGATCAAAGGTTTCCTCTGCCGAGTTGAACCAGGATGACTGATTGACTACCCATCCTTCCTGACATTTAATCCTAGTGTCTACTACCAGCAGGTAGCTTGCTGCCATCAAAAGTAAATACATCATTTTTCTGAACAGACTGCATGTATTGACAAGGCAGTCCAGGCTCAGTTCCTCATTGGTAAAATGGGAATAAAACCAAGTCCTTCCTGAAGGATTGTATGGACAAACACAATAACAATTCTTTCCTATAGTGAGAGCTAACATGCTCTACCTCTTGAGCAGCTGCAGTCCCAGCCCTATTTGTTGAGGCAGAATTAGCAGGTGGTGTGTGCTTACAGAGCTTTCTTTTTGTGTGTTTACTAACCAGCTATATCTGGATATAATCCATGGTTCATGTTGCAAATTGCCAGCAGTGTTATATCTGTAAGAATGGAACCAAACAGAGGAAATTATTGAGTTGAGCAACACAATAGCATTTCAATCCAGAGTAAACAAACCAAGGGGAATTTATATTGATGAATTCATCTTCACATGACAGGTTAAAAATGGCATAAATTGTTCCATCCTGTTTTGAACATAAAGGCACAGTCAACACATGTGCTTAAGCTGCCCATCACTAAGATTTAGGCACAGAATGAGTTCAAATTAAAGATGACATTTGTGTAAACTAGCCCATAGCTGATGATTTACTCAAAACTTTATGCACAGTACATGATGCCAGGTGGCTTTGCTGGAGTATAACTCGTCACACTTGCATTCTGTCTTACTTGTATCATATTTTATGCAAGTCAGTAATCAGTGATTTTTTTTCATGTTTTTCAAAAAGTGGAGAAAAGAACTACAGGATCAGCTATATTAGATTTAATACTTACTAACAGGGAGTAAGTAGTTAAAGAAGTGGAAGTGTAGGGACCTTGGGAGAGAGTGACCATGTAATCCTAGAATTTACCATATTGGAGGTAGGAGAACTGAAAATAGCCAGATTAGTGTTCTAGGTTTTGAGAGAGCTGACTTCAACAAGCAAAGGGAAAAAGTAGGAAGGATTCCATGGATGGAAATTGTGATCAGCAAAACAGTTCACGAGAGCTACAAAATTCTGAAAAATGAGATAGGTCCAAACACAATAAATACCAAAGAGAAAAAAAATGGGAGACACCTGATGAAACTGGTGTGGTTGCACCAAGAGCTCTCTGATAAACTGAGAAACAAAAAGGACATTTTTTAAAAAAAATGAAGAAAGGGGCTGAAAGAGTATCTGATATTCACTGTTTTCTTATTTTGAAGCTGCAAACAACTGCACAGCACATAAATAAGAATGTATTCAAATTTACAGAAAGATATCATGTTTAACTTTGCACCATGTAGAGGTTGTGTCATTTTCTGTTCACTTATGGATTAATTGAAACATACAATTTGGTCAGAGGTGCCTACGCTTTTTAAAAACAACTGTAAGAGAAGAGGAATAAGACACAGGAGTAATTTAGTTGTTAAGCAATGCTAGAAAAAAAATCTTCCTAATATCAAGTAATTTATGGGTACACTTGATAGTGCCAAAAATAGATAACTTTATTGCAGAAAACCACACAAAAGTATTGCCCTTGTGGGTAGAAAAATTGCAGTTTTGGTTGGGGAAGGACTAACAATATCGTTTTAATTTCTGGAGAAAACACTAATGGTTTCTAAGGGCAAACCACTGCACCCTAAGTTGCTTGTCTGGGGAAGGACTAACAATATCGTTTTAATTTCTGGAGAAAACACTAATGGTTTCTAAGGGCAAACCACTGCACCCTAAGTTGCTTGTCTGGGGAAGGACTAACAATATCGTTTTAATTTCTGGAGAAAACACTAATGGTTTCTAAGGGCAAACCACTGCACCCTAAGTTGCTTGTCTCCCATGCTGTGCTCACAGTGGTTTCATAAGCCAACTTCTGAAATTCCAGTCCGGATTGCAGTGGGTTCGCAACAGGGTCAGCCTGGTGCTCAGTTTGGACTATGGCCACCACAAGACTTGGCTGGCCTTCCCTTGCCTCTTGCCTTTCCCATCTGTGCAAGGAAGATCAACTTCTCTGGCTGCCTCCTGTGTGGGCCGGTCTCCCAGTGCGTGCCTTTTTCTCTTAGGGGTTGTTCCTTCCTCAGTAGTCTCTGGACCTTTCCTTTGCTTTTCCAGATGTTTGCACACATGGATGCCTATACACCACTGTCCCCTATTATAGCCTTTGACACTAAAGCAGACCCTTTCCTTTTTTTTTTTGTCCCCTTATTGTTGCTTTGATGCTACAATAATCAAAGCAATGAAAGGGGAACCCCCTGTTCCTTGCTCTGAAGGTCCATGGAAACAAGGACTGATAATTCAGCTTCATAAAAATGAAGTAGCAACATTCCTACCTTTTTACTTAAATATGTTTTAAAGAATAAAGGAAAGGGAAGTTTTGCAGGGGGTGAGAAAGCAAGGGGAGCATGCTTCAGCTGGGCAGAAACTGAAAAGGTGTCCACTGGCAGATGTGAGGGCCGAATGGAGCCTGCACTTCTCCCATTGAGGAAGGTTTGTTGACTTAATGGGCCATTGCTGGATCAACCATAAGATTACAAAAAAGAACAACTATCAACCAGCAGAGAACAAAGCAGCCTGGCAACAGAGGACAAAATGGCTGTCCAAGGCAACAACCAACCACTGGAGGGGAGGGAGGGCGTGCCAGCCACCACAGCCAATAGGATCTGGGGCTGCTACTAGAATGAAACAAAGTGCTGGTTTTTCATCTGCTCTGAAGGACTTAAGATGACTTGGGGCAGAAAGCAACAGCTTTTAAATGAAGCTGGAAAACACAGGTGTGGAGTACATTTGCAGTGGGCTGGGACTGGGAGGGGGGCAATGTCATCCATTCCTGCACCCACAAAGCAATGAGAGGCCTGTACTGTGATGGGCCAAGCAGAAAGCGCAGATCTGCCCCAATCTGCTCATCAATGCCTGAGACTTTACTGCCTGAGACCTTCAAAAAAGATGCCAAATATTATGTATGAATATTGAAAAATGGACACGAACTAATAATATGTCTGTATAATTTCTGCTACAAAATGTTTAGATGCTTGAAATATTTGCATAACTTATAGTCCTGACATTTTACATATCTTGCAGTGCTGATCTGAGTTGTTTCTCTCATATCTGTATTGTGCTTTCTCTGTTGTATAATTTGCTTGTGTAATTTCCAAGCTGCTTATATTAAAATAAGTTTGGTGTGAGGTAACTTGTTCCTATTCTCTCTGCTGAGGTGGTTCAGCTGTTGTTGGCTGGAGTTCAGTTCTCTTTTTAGTTGGTTTCCTGTTTAACATTGGTTATTTAATTGCATGTTGGGAGTACAGCAGTCAGGGTTTGAGCCTGTGCCTGGTAACGTTCTGGTTTTGTTTAAAATAACTTGTATATATATAATATAAGCCTTTCTTTATATTCAAATAAAACTCTTATTTGGGGAAATCAACAACAGGCTTGAGGGAAGAGTGAACAAAATAATATATTTAATAGCTAAGGGTATAAGTTTATTTCTCTGTCTCTCATTTTTACAACAACTTGTGAGGTTAAGTGGGTCATAGTGACAGGTCAGCTAGAACTCTAGCTATATAGCAACTAGGTCCTTGGTTTACATGATTTCCATTGTTAACTCCTAGTGATGAGTCAATTGATTAAAAAGCTGTTTACCTGAATAGATCCTTCCTTTCTTTGTCATTGCGCTTAGATTTGTTTCCAGCATCTGCCCTTTAGGATCATACAAAAATGCCTTAGACTGTGCCAGTCCACTGGTCCATATTCCCCAGGAGCATCAATAAAGACCTGAAGCACCTCTCTAGATTAAAAAAAAAAAGCTTTCGTAGATAAGTCAGAAATTAAACTTGGTGTCTTCTGCATGAAAAGGATGTATGGTATTGTTGTTCACAATCTTTTTATTTGGTTTGGTGATCCTCATAATTTTATTTATGTGGTATCATGCCACAGAGTCCCTGAAATATTATAATTAGCACGGTTTTAATTGTAAGCCAGTCAGTTACAATCAATAGGAGCATTTACATTAAACTTTGATAGATATGAATTGCATATTTTTGATTTAATAGGAAATTTGTTTTGGCTCTATTCAAGAATTAGCTATTCTGACTGATAAAAAGGAAAAAGAAAGGAATTATTAATGGAATAATTAATACTGAACTGTATCCTAAGTATGTAATGTTCCTAGATCCTTTAGGTGAAAAAGCTGTTTTACAAATTATAGCTATAACTTTCATATGAATTATGGTGCTCTTTGGTAACAGGAAGCCAAGCAGACAGGGAAATTCCAAGTGTAAATAAATTCAGTCCTCTTCTTGATGTAATGAGTAATAGTATGCCCTATTTAAGGGGGGAATTGTGCACTGATGAGTAATTAGCCTATTGTTTATGTCTCATTTAAATATTTCAGTCCTGTTTAAAATGGTAATTTTCAGAATATATCCATGGTTGCTTACTAATATATTATTGCTGTGCAATGCAGTATTCATATGCCAACTATACAGTTGTTCATGTGTCTGAAAAGGTTTTTTTTTTTTTTTTTTATAAACTGTAGAAAGTTTAAGGGAAACAGCATTTGGGAAATTGAAAATGAAACACTGAAGGCAAAAAAGTTGTCTCTTCTTCACACTCTTCAGTCCTTTCTCTTTTCTAGGACACAACCATTGCAGGTGAATCAAGACATGTGATTTCAGTCAAAATATTTGTCCTAACTATCAAATTGAAATCTGGTTAGAGGCTAAACCAGGCAAAGGTGTATTGTGAATATTGAAGCCCCCCTGCCAGTGTAAATGCCAGACAGGGTCTGAGTCTGGATGTACGTCTTCGCCCAGGTATCGGCTTTCGCACATATGCTCAGGAGATTCCCTCAACCCCTCCCCTCCTAGGAAGGGAAAGAGTTTTGTTCTTTTAAAGGACAACAAAGGTAGAACTCTGGGGAAACAGAGCAAAATGTAGCTGTATTTGAGCTGGGAAAACAAGTGGGGTGTTCTGTCTCCCCAACAGCTCTGGTAATTAGTTGGAATTACTGCCAAGAGGTCAGGGCAGGTCCAAGGAAAAGAAGCAGAGGACTTTGCTTTCAAATTCAGGTTTGCTCTAAGGCATAGGTAGTTGTTTATTTAGAAACTGCATTAAGTTTTAACTTCGTCTTAAGTCTTACTGTCTCTTGTTCCTGATACTCTGTACAAGTAGGACATTCTGTGAAATTTCAGACTGATTTCCAGAAGATTTTCTTTTTTTTAACTTCTTGTAAACTAAAATCTAATTTGGAAGCAGAGATTGTACTCTAGCTCACTAATTATTGGAACTGCCACTATCTTGTATTTGACAAAAACATTGTATGCATTTCTGTAATCTTACAATATCTCAGTGTTTCTTTTTTTAAAAAAAAAGTTTGATTGTTTTCATCTCTTATGAGATTAATTGATATCCAAAAGGAGAAGGAAGGTCTCAAACTTTAGCCAGACACGTGTATGCTACAGCCTAGGGTCAACTACAGAAATTGCTATTATTTCCCTAATGTTTACCTTTCCATGTGAGTAAAACAACACAGGTCACAAGGACCCTATCTCTCCCACACAGCAGGGTTAGGGGAGGATTCCACAAGAGTTATTTCTTGGAAGATAGGTGGCAATAGCAGGAACTATTAAGTTGCTACCCAAAGACAAGGAAGCAAGGCCAGGTTATGTAGACTCAGAGGTCTTCTGGGGAGAGATGTGAGACCTCCAGTCTTTCACACTACTGGCTCAACCATGCTAAGCATATACTATATATTTCAAAACAAGTTGTTCTGGAGGTCTTGGAACAGTTTTCTACAACCTAGTGCCCTTCACATACCATTGGTCATGCTAGCTAGAAATTATTGTAGCTGAACTCCACATCAGAATACCACACTGGGGAAGAGTCCCCCAGGGAGGCAGTTTTGTTCAGTTTCTTCATTAGCAAAACATAGTGTACAGTTATCAAAACAGCACTTTAAAAAGTATGTAAAGCATATTGTAAGCCCAAATAACACATATTTTTTTAACGTTAGAAATAATGTCATCATATAACAACCTTCCCCAACTTGATGTTTGCCTGATGTGTTGGATTGCAACTACCATCATCCTCCATCTAAGCCAAGTTGAAGAATTCTGTTCTGCAGAATTGTTATGAGGCTTATAAAACATTTGTGCTCACTCATGATGAAGATGACGCTATCTGCTCAATTGTGTCTGATTCTCAGCGATTCTACGGACTAGCTCTCTTCACATTTTCCGACCTTGTATGGCTTCTTTTAGTTGTTTTATGCTCTGGCTGGTGTCGGCTTTGATGGTGCTTAGCCACCATGATTTTTGGCGGCCCCATTTCCTTTTACTGCTGACCATTCCAAGCTTTTCCAATGAGTTTGATTGCATGACGTGGCTGAAATAAGGCGGAATTTTGTGATTTTGCCCTCCAGCAATATGTCTGGTTTTATATGCTTCAGTATTTGCTTGTTTGTCACCTTTGCTAACCAAGGAATGTGCAGGAGTCTTCTCCAGCACCATACCTTGAACAAGTCAATTTTCTTCTTGTCTAGTTTTTTCATGGTCCAACTTTTGCAACCATAAGTAGCTATGGGAAATATGATAATGCAGACTAATCTGCATTTAGTTGCCAGGCTGACGTCCTTGCTTTTCCATACTCACTTCATGCTCATCATTGCTGTGCGACCCAATGTGATTCAATACTTTATTTCTGGACTGCATTCACTGCTTTGATCAATCTGCAATCCTAGGAAAGTGAATTCTTGAATGCATTCAATCTTTTCACCATCAATAGTTATTTTGACATTACCATTCCTTGCAGTCGTCATGAGCTTGGTCTTTTTGACGTTCAGAAAGAGGTAAAATTTCTTGCTTTCTTCTGTAATCCTTTTGATCAGATGTTTCAGGCTTTCTTTGGTTTCTGAGAGGACAGTTGTGTCATCAGCAAATCAAAGACTGCTGATGTTCCTTCCTCAAATCTTTACTCCAGTTTTTGATTCTTCAAGTTCCAGTTTCCTCATGATTACTTCAGCATATAGGTTGAATAAAGAATGCAACCTTGCCATACTCCTTTCTCTATCTTGAACAATCAGTATGTCCATATGGTGTTTGCACAGTGGTTTCCTGATTTGTGTACAGTAACTGCATCAACTTGACCAGATGTGTTGGCACCCTTAGGTCTTCTAGGGCTCTCCCTAGCTTATCATGATCAACACAATCAAATGCTTTCTTGTAGTCAATAAAGAAGATGTAGATATTTTGATATTCTTGAGATTTTTCCATCATCCAGCATAGATTTGCAATATGGTCATGAGTGCCACAACCCCTTCTGAAGGCAGCTTGAACATCTGGTAATTCCCTTTTGATGGTCAGTGCTAGAAGTTGTTGTATGATCTTAAAGAGAACCTTGCTAATGTGAAGGATGAGGGCAATTGTGCGGTAATTGAAGCAATCCTTGGAGTCGCCCTTTTTTGGCAATGGGATAAACACTAATCATTTCTGATCCTATCACCATGTATTCATTTCCCAAATTTTCTGGCACAAGGCTGTGATGATTGTGGGTGGTACAGGCCTCAGCAATTCTGTGAGGATGGTATCAACACCTGGGGCCTTGTTGTTTGACAGCTGGCTCATTGCCCACATGGCTTCTTCCTGAAGGATGGCTGGTTCTATTTCTGCTACCCTTTCCTAATCATTCTGAGGAGGCTGGGCCTCTTTGTTGCTGGCATACAGCTCTTCTGTATATTCTCACCATCTGTTCTTAACACCTTGTTGGTCAGACAGTTCTTTCTCTTGCTTGTCTTTGTTTAAAAAGTCAATCCTTTTGACTTGTGCAAAAGCATTCCTGATGTGGCCCTTCGTGCAGTCCTCTTCTAGCTGCTTGCAAAACTGGTCCCAATAAACTTTGTTGTCTTTCCTTGCTGCTCTTTGAAAATCTGCAAATCTTCAATCTCTTTGCTTCCTCCCATTTGCCTGCTGCTTTGGCTGCTTTTCTTTGCTCGGCTATTCTGATGGTTTCATCTGAGAGCCACTTGCACTTCTTCTCTGGCTTCTTGTATGGTATGTGTTCAATTGCTGTTTCAATGATGGCCGGCTGAGTTTTTTGCCACAGTTCATCAGGTATCTTCTCAGTTTAAGCCTATTTTTCACCTCAGTTACATACATGGAAGGGATTTGGGTGATGTGAAACTTCTTTGGTGGTGCTGTCTTTTTGATGTTGCATAATTTAGCTCTGATCTTAGCCACCAACAATTCATGATCTGAACCACAATTGGCACCCAGATATGCTTTGACAGTGAGGACTGAATTGGACCATTGATGGCTACATAGGACATAGTCGATCTGACTTTGGTGCAGTTTATTTGGTGAAGTCTAAATGGATAAGTGACGCTTGTGCTGTTTGAACCAGGTATTCATGATTCAAAAATGGTTTTCATGGCAAAATTGAACCAAATTATCATCTGCATCATTCCTCTCCCCAAGTCCAAAGTTGCCAGTGATGCCTGTCTCTCCTTGGCTGCCAACTTTTACATTAAAATCACCCAGTATGTAGACAATGTCTTTTTGGGGCACTTGCTTCAGAGTTTTTTCAATGCTGGCATAGAAACCCTCTATTTCAAGCTCTGTTGCATTAGTTGTTGGGGCGTAGACTTGGACAACCATGATTCTGAAGGGTTTGGCACAGATTCAGATGGTCCTAAGGCAATCATTAACCGTCAAGAAGCTTTCCACTGCTTGGACAAGTTTCTTGCTTGTAATAAATTCCACTCCATTTGTTTTCCTTGTGTCATGTCCTGAGTAATAGATAGTGAATTCCTCAGACTGGAAATAGCTGCTGTCTATCCAGTGTAGTTCACTGACACCAAGGAGGTCGATTTTCAACCTGGTCATCTCCCATTTGATATCCAATTTACCCTGGCTCATTCCTTGCACATTCCACATTGCTATCTGATGTGTCTTTAACTAGTGCAGATGCTTTCACCAATGGCTGCCTCAGCAGCTGGGATTCCTGCTGGATTTGCCCCAGGCACATCATTAATGTCTTGACTACTCACTGCTCTCTCATAAGAGCACTCAATTGCAATGGGAATTACTCCAAAGTAAGTCTGCTTAGGACATAGAAGTGAAATAACTACAGTATTGAGGTATGGTGTTTATGAAGCTCTGGAGTAATACTGTGATTTTAAAGCCCTGCCCTGCCCTGCCCTG